ATTTTTCAGATGTCAGGTGAAACGTGTAGTTATGGACGCAGCATGCTGCAAGAGGATCTCACAAGGAGCTCTTCCACTTCCACCTGAGTAAACAGCTAATCAAACCCAAAATAACACATTAGAAACAACAAGGCTGACGTGCCGAGCTCAAGGCAGAGAGCTGTGCAATAGTTGGGGTCAGGAGAGGAAATAAACAGACGCCTCCCCAGACTCAGTGGGGTGACAGTCGCTCCTGCTGCACTGATTGTACTGCTGAACAGGAGGAGGAAATGTCCCATCAGACTCAGACTGAAAAACAATCTGAAGGGAGCTTTCATTCCTGGGCAGAAGGGGTGGAGCAGAGGTGAGAGGAGGAGGGGGAGAAGAAGGGGGACAGCAGGAGGGACAAGTGGGGAGGAGAGAGGAGTGCGGGGGTTGAAGGGAAGCAAGACATGCTTGGCTTTTACCTTCTTCCTCTTCCTCTGAGTCACAGTAGCTCTTATCTTCGATAAAACCAGAGCTCGCAGAGCTTCCGGTGCTGGCCACGCTCTCCAAGCGGCGCTTCATCAGCTCGCTGAGTTCGCAGCCCAATCCTGATGAAACCACCTTACCATCCGGGCTCTGATCGACACACAGGTTTCATTATAAATAGGAAATTCAATTAGACGTTTTACACGCATCAGATTTTTGTGGAATATAATCACACTGCATTAAGGTACGATGAATTTATCTTTACAAAATAGGAGACATTCCAAGAGCGTTGTAAAAAAAGTTACTCGACGATATTGTACAGATGGAGACTCACTTTGTAGACGAGAAAGTCGTCTCTCTTGCCCCTCAAATAGTTGGACAAATTTCCATATTTGCAGAACTCCACTATCATCATCAACGGTCCTGTTAAAGATGGAATCATTCCTCTGATTATTATTTACGGGAATAAAAACAAGGGTCAAAAACAGACGCCAACTTAATCCTAAACCCAACGAAACTGGCAGTATTTTAGCATCCTTTAAAAAGACAATGCTTCTATATATATTTTATAATCACAGTAATAATGCTCACCGCCAGGTTTCGTGCAGGCTCCCAGCAGGTTAACCACATTGAGGTGATGGCCAATGTGGATCAGGATCTTTAACTCTGACATCAGAGCCTTTCGCTCGTTTGACGTAGCGCCTCCTGTAACGAGTGTAAACATCAGCTGGTGCTTCAACATCCAAAGTAAATGCTCTCGTAAGCGATTTAATTTGAGAAACTTCCAGCTTGACTAAATTCATGTGAAAAACAAGTAAGCATACACATGTTTTTTAACTAAAACAGAGAGTGGGGAGTTATTTTTTTAAGTGTATTCAACTTATTATCTGTATTTATATATTAACAGTGAAATCTATTTTACTTTTTAATTTCTGAGACCTAAGACTACTCTGAAATCTAATGTGGTATAGTTTCAGTTTCAGTTTTCAGTTTTATTTGTCATATGCAAGTTAGCACAGGGTCAACATTGCAATGAAATGTGTTTGAC